CTGTGATGGTGGTGGTGTTGGGAGGAGAAAGAGACAGAGGAGGTGGGGGAGAGAGAAGGATGAGAGAAAGAGAGAGTAGGGGGCCATGGTGCATTGGTGAGCTAGAGAGAAAGAGAGAGAGAGAGATGAGAGTAGAGAGAGAGACGATTCGAGCCAATTCGCGCCTCGAATTGTCAGCCTAAAGCATTTTTCTATCGATCATGCTACGTAGCTCGAATGCCGCGGCTCGACACCAAAACGACGTCGTTTTGGTGTCGATTTGTTTTTTTGTTTTTTTTTCCTGGTTTTGCAGAACGAAGAAGAGAAGAAGAAGAAGAAGAAGAAGAAGAAGAAGAAGAAGAAGGGAGAAGAAGAGAAGGGAGGAGGAGGAGGAGGAGGAGGAGGAGGAGGGAGGGGAGGGGCCATAAAAACCGGTTTGAGGATGAGGGGAGGCTGGGCTGCGACGGAGGCGGGGCTGCGATGGAGGAGAAGCAGCAGCGGCGGCCGAAGCGCGACGACAGCGGGGCGGGGCTGCGACGACGCCGACCTTCTTCCTCTCCCTCCCTTCTCTTTCTCCTCTCCCTCTCTTTCTCTCCCTCTCCTCTCCCTCTCCCTCTCTTCCTCTCGAGCCATTTCGAGCCTGTAGCTTCGAGCTACCAGGTATTTTCCTTTTCTATATACTTAGTGAATTGAAGATGCTCTAGTACTTTGGTCAATTATATATTGAAAATTTTTGATTATTTTTTTGCCTGTTTAAAAAACTTTTGAAGATCTAATTATGTGTCGCAATTTTATTTCTCAATGCCTATAATTTTTATATATTTGTAATGATTAGAGTCCATGCTATTTCACCGGTGTTGGAGCCGATAGAGACGAATAATTATAACTTCGTGATAGAGGTAGATAGAGAGATGATAATGCTTGAGTGGGTTACAATTACTGTTGATTGGATGTACATGGGAAAGGAGAAGATAGTTGGGACATACATTAAGGCCCTGTTTGGGCAGGTTGGGTTGGACTATTTTTGGTTAAAATGTATAAAGAATAAAAAAAATAAGTTAAAATAATTAATAAGACAAAATATTACATCATATTTATAATCATTTCACTTTTTTTTTTTACAAACATAACATCCAACTATAAAAAATCTAATTATCTTTTAAATACAAAAATTTTAACGTATTAAAATAGTCAAAAACTAAATAGCCTATTAAAATAGTAACTTTCCAAAACACCCACTAAAGTATGAGAAAAGTTATGACTTAGAAAATTAAGAATGGGTGATAGTATGGTAGAAATTAATTTGTGTAGATATAAGATTTAATTAGAATAAATTTAAATTACAAATAAAAATTTTGAATAATTTTTGAGTTGTAAGGATGGTTTCATAGTAAGTATATTACTTATTAGGGATAGAAGATTTGGTGCCTAATAATTATCCATGTTTTGAATAAAATGAACGGAATTTCATTATTAGGTAAGCGCATTTCACCTGAACCTTTCATGTCTTTCCATCTGAATGTGGTCTATAGTAAACTACTGTAATTTGAACTCAGGAAATTTCTAATCCAAACTTTCTGTTTGAGAATGCATGTCAATTGATTATTAAAAATAACATAAAATTCATGACCTTGAATTTTATTATTTGACAATTGAAGTATCCAGAGTTAAAATTTATTGACTGCTTGAGCAATAAAACCACAACTTTGGTCTCACGAAGGCCATATTTATGTGAGGATTTTTTTTTTTTTTCTAATGATTATAAGATGTAAATTTGTTAATAAAATTGTATTATAACTAAGAGAGTCGTCACAGTTTCATTAGATTAAACTCATTACATTTTTCTCATCACAACTTAAGGAGTGATTGCAAGATTATTGGACCAAACCCAAGATTTGTTTTGGTGAAAAATTTAGAAAGAAAGTTCAAAAAGAAAAAAATTTATTTTACAATTCATTGTTTTAAAATTCCTTGTTTGGATAACAGAAATGGTGAGAATGTTTAAAATCTACAAGGGATTTGAAGACGGGATTTTCACAACAGGTAATTTTGAAAATTTTAAAAGATAGAATGGATATATTAAGAGCTATGGTGCACTCCAATTACATAGATTTTTTTTTATTATTATTTTGTTTTTACACTTTTTGTGTGGTTTTTAGCAGGCACACCCAATTGATTCAAAAAAATAAATAAATAAATAAAAATGGCAGGATGAAATTAGTGGCATTTTTTTGACTTTTTTTTTTTATAAAGAATTTATAGAATGCTGATAAAGCTTTTTTTAATTTTTTTAAAAAAATCAATCATACAACAATTTATTCTTAATCCAATTAAAAAATATTTATTTTTAATTAATTAAACTGACCCAAATGATTATATTTTTCACTTTTTCCTTTCTTAATTAAAAAAAATTGTTGTAAATTTTTTTAAACAAAATTCAAATACCTACCAAAACTCACTACAAGAAATTAGTGATTTAGGGACTAATATTTAGAGACCAACTGAATTTTGTCTCTAAAAACCATCATTTAGAGACCAAAATAAATTTGAAGAAAAAATTATACAAACACCGTATATTCTTTTATGATAGCCCAAAAAAAATTATTTGAAGACTTTTAGGGACCAAAAAAGTTAAAGTTTATGTTGATTTGATCAGTTGACCCCGTATGTGAGGTAGGCAAAAGCTAGAGACGAATTAATTTGGTTGCTAAAGGTCGTCAAATACGCGCTTCACTCGATTGATCCCTCCTTCAGTTGTCAAATACGTGCATTCTTAAGCTGGATTCATTCCTTCACTACAATTGGTCTCAGTTAGGGCTCTATCAATCTCAGCTATTTCCTCTGTCTAGGACTCAATCAATCGATCTTGAGCTTCGATTGATCAATCAACTCAATCAATTGATCTTCAGCTTCGATCGATCTCAGCTAGGACTCAATCGATCTTCAGCTTCAATCCGAATCGATCTTTGTGCCGCCTCGTATTAGAATCGATCTTCACCTTATTTCTGAATCGATCTGAGTTCTTTGGCTTCAATCCGAAGGTAAATAGCGATTTGGTATGTTTTCAATCTCTTTCTCTCTGCACAGACACATCATTTATACATGTACATATCTATATATATACTCCTCTATATTCATTCAAATTGCTTGAATTTGAAATTCTGTATTCATTCAAAGCTATATAGGTACTTGATTTCATATATATATATATATATATATATATATATTGTTGTACATGCATATGTATACTAGATTTGTGCTTTTGATTTTGGTGGTGAAGATTCTTGCTATAATATGTGACTGTTAATGAACTGTGGAGAAAGATGCTATGATGTTACGTACAGAAGCTGAATAATGAAAACAATGGCAGAAAATAAACAAAGCAGAACAAGTTCTATAATTGTCACCAACTTTAATGAATTCTAAAGGAGTCCAGAAGTTTTTTTTTTTTTGAGAAGAATTTTTTGATCATACTACAACAAAGGAGAATTAAGAGTTGATTATGATGCCCCAGGACATTCTTGCACAACAATGGCTTACAGTGCTGATGGGACAAGGTATATATAGGATAGGCTGTTAATTCACAAGAGGATCTGTGCTTCATTTGCATCTTTTCTGATCATGTTGAAAACTCTGTAGGTTGTTCTCATGTGGGACTAGCAAGGAAGGAGAATCATACATTGTAGAATGGAATGAAAGTGAAGGAGCTGTCAAGCGGACATATCATGGTCTTGGGAAGCGGTCTGTTGGGGTTGTGCAATTTGATACAACAAAAAACAGATTTCTAGCTGCTGGTGACGAGTTTGTAATCAAATTTTGGGACATGGATAATGTTAACCTCTTGACAACTACTGATGCAGAGGGTGGATTACCGGTAATAATCAAATTGCATCTCTTTTAGATTTGCTTCCCATCTTTCTGGATTACCGGTAATGATAAAACTAGAGGTTAATACTGGAGGATTTATGATTGAATTGGAATGCTTATGTATATATATGATTGAAGAATTAATCAACAGGGGACAGCAGGTTGATGCGGTCCACTTTACTTTCGAAGTTGGTCTTGAGGGCAAGTTCCCCCCTGTTCCACTGCTGAATGTCCTTACAATGCTCGATCTTGTTCCTCACCAAAGGGTCCTGATCTTGTTCTCTTTGATTAAAGGGGTTACATGCTCTAAAACGCTGGTAATTCTTTTTATTTCGCAGCATCTTGCTGCACGCAAGGAGCAGTCTGCACTCCGGGCTGTCATCAAGTGCGTTGAAGAGTACAAACTTGAGGCCGAATTCCCTTCAAAAAATCTCAGGAAGCGCCTTGACCAATTAGAGAAATCCAAGACTGAGAAGAAAAAGCCAGCTGCTGTCCCTGCCAACAAAAGAACACGAGTGAACAGTGGTGGCCCAATGCCACCAGCAAAGGCTGGCCGCTCTACAAATGCTTACGTGTCATCTTTCCCTGCGGCCCCCGCATATGTCAGGTCCCCGTCACATGCTCAATACCCTGTTGGCGTTCCATCGTATCCTGCTGGTCCTGCCATGTATGGCAGCAGAAGCCCTCTAACCAACCCTTATGCATACTCACCTGAAGCAGGCCCTCCTCTTGCTGGGTCTTATCAAGTAGCTCCAGTGAACTACTCTCCTTATGGAGGCTATGGAAACGTTGCACCAACTTATCAGCAAGCCTACTACCGATAGACTTGACTTTGGAGATGGTGAAACACTGATATGATGACCCTGATCTCGAATGTTCTCTAAATGGTTTGTAATCACTAACCTTTTAATGGTAGCAATATTTATGAACAAAACACAAAGAACACGTTTCCTAATAACAATGTCACAAAAGTTGGATAGGCATATAGCTGCTGCTATTACTAAGCATTTGGGCATATGGACTTGATTTCTTTTGAATATATTTTTACACTTCATGCAGGAGAAATGTCAGAAAAACAAGGAAAATCGGTTTGAGCTTAAAGTCCTCCATACAGCTGGCTCAAAGGCATTTAGAAAGGTGCAATACGATGAGGTAAATAACTGACCTTTAAATCATAGGGTCTACATGGTACTTTTTTATTTCTTTTATTTGGTGATGTATGTACTCTATAGGATACTAACTATAAAGGTTTTGACAGCGAGACAAGGATGGAAAGGAGCTTGGACTTGTTGATTTGTATCATAAGACACACTTTAGTCAGAAAAGGCAAGCATGGGTCCATAATGAAGCTGAAATTAGACATGTAAGAATTTTCTAATGTTAAATATTAAAGTATTTTCCTAATTAATGATTACTTGACTAAGGCTCATGTGTTTGTTAAATCTTTAGCACTAAGATTATGAACAAGTAAATGATTAGGACTAGATCATCCAGGGGTTTTATTGAGTTAACAGTGGCTACTAGATTATGTCCTTGCTGCCCTGGCTGTTTGTATTTGGTATTTTGCATAATAGAGAAGGCTACCTGATTGGTTTAACGTGGCTTAGATTATGATAACCTTATTGTGTTGATTCTAGGTGTCTACTTTCTTGTTGTGTTATTCTTATTATAGTTGATTCTCTATTATAGCTCACTACTACTCCAAGTACACTTGAAGATATACGATCTGTTTTTTCAATTATTTGTAACTTATTTGATTATGAATAGACTATTGAATATTTAATGAGGTTATGTTTGTGTTGATTCTTATTAATTTGATTTTTTCTTTTGAATTTTGCGATTGCACGGATGTCCAAGTGAGGGTGTCCACACCTAAGTTACAGCTTGAAGCCTCTTGTGCCAAGGGCTGTCTGATATAAAGCCTGTATTATTGATGTTGAGAAAATGTTTTTTTAGAGATTCTCCTTTGAAGAAAACTATTGCTAATTCTTCTGTAGACGCGGCCCGCGGAGCCTATGCTACAGTTCAGACTCGATTTGTGTCACGGTTCTTAATCTGAACCAAAGAGTCCAAATCTG